AAATCTTAAAAAAAAAAATTGACCATTTTAGCCACTTTTACGTGTACTTTTAACCACTCTAAGCAGCAGTACGTGCATTCATGTTGTCATGCAACCATCACCACCACTGATTTCTAGAACTTTTAAAATCTTCTCAAACTGAAACTCTATACCCATTAAATACTCCCCATTCCTGCCTTCCCAGACCCAGGCACCCACCATTCAACTTTGGCCTCTATGAATTTGCCTCCTCTAGGGACCTCATGTCACACAGTATTTGTTCTCTTGTGTCTGCCTGAATTCACTTAGCATCCTGTCTTCAAGGTTCATCCACGTGATAGCGTGTGTCAGAATTTCCTTCCTAATTTTAGGGCTGAAAAATATTCCAATTTAAGTTTATACAATATTTTGTCTATCCGTTCATCTGTGGATGGACACTTGGTTTGTTTCCACCTTTTGGCTGTCGTGAATAACACTACAATGAACCTTAGCTACAAGTATTTTGTGTGGGTGTCTGATTTTAGTGCTTTGGGGTATATACCTAGGAGCAGGGTTGCTCGGTCAGATGGCAATTCTACGTTTTACATTTGGAGGAAGAGCCCTGCTGTTTTCCACGGCAGGCGCGCCATTTTACATTCCCAGCAGCAATGTCAGGAGGTTCCCGTTTCTCCATATCCTCACCAACACTTGTTATTTTCAGTTTTTAAACATCTATTTGTTTTTACTGTAGCCATATGAAGAAGTGTAGGGTGGTATCTCATGATGGTTTTGATTTGCATTTCCCTAATGACTGATGATGATGAGCATCTTTTCTTGTACTTATTGGCCATTTGTATATTTTCTTTGGAGACATGTTTACTCAAGTCCTTTGCCCATTTTCTAATTCGGTTGTTTGTATTTTTGTTGTTGTTATAGGAGTTCTGGATATTAAACCCCTTTTTTTTTAAAGATTTTATTTATTTATTCATGAGAGACAGAGAGAGACAGAGAGAGACAGAGAGGCAGAGGGAGAAGCAGGCTCCCAGGGAGCAGGGAGCCCGATGCGGAACTCGATCCCAGGACCCTGGGATCATGACCTGAGCCGAAGGCAGACGCTTAACCATCTGAGCCCCCAGGCGCCCTGGATATTAAACCCTTATCAGATGCATGCTTTGGGAATATTTTCTTCCATTCCGTATACTTTCTTTTCACTCTCTTGATAGTGTCCTCTGGTGCACCAAAGTTTTTAATTTTGATGAAGTTCAATTTATCTTTTCTCTTGCTGTTTATGTTTTTGGTGTCATAGTTAAGAATCCGTCACTAGGGGCGCCTGGCTGGCTCAGTCGGTGGAGCGTGTGGTACTGGATCTCAGGGCTGTGACTTTGAGCCCCATGTTGGGTGTAGGGATTACTTAAAAATAGAAAATCTTTTTTTAAAAGATTTTATTTATTTATTTGCGGGGGGCGGGGTGGAGAGTCCAAGCAGGGTGAGTGGGAGAGGGAGAAGCAGGCTCCCTGCTGAGCAAGGAGCAGGACGTTGGACTCAATCCCAGGACCCTGGGATCATGACCCAAGCTGAAGGCAGACACTCAACCAACTGAGCCACCCAGGCGCCCCTAAAAATAAAAAATCTTAAAAAATATATCCATCATTAAATACAAGGTATGAAGGCTTATCCCTATATTTTCTTTTAAGATTTTTTTATGGTTTTAGCTTTTATATTTAGGTTTTAATCTATTTTGAGTTAGTTTTTGAATATGGTGTGAGGTAGGGGTCCAATTCCATTCTTTTGTATGAGGAAAGACAATTGAGTTTACTTAGTGCCATTTGTTGAAGAGACTGTCCTTTCCCCATCTAGTGGACTTGGTACCTTTGTAAAAATCCTATTTGGTTAAGCAACTGCCTTTGGCTCAGGTCATGATCCTGGAGTTTCGGGATTGAGTCCTACGTCCGGCTCCCTGCTCAGGGGGGGGGTCTGCTTCTCCCTCTGACCCTCTTCCCTCTTGTGCTCTCTGTCTCTCATTCTCTCTCTCTCAAATAAATAAATAAAATCTTAAAAAAAACCGCTATTGGTCACAGATATATGAGTTTATTTCTGGACTCTCAATTCTGTTTCATTGGTCAATATGTCTATCCTTATGCCAGTACCACACTGTTTTGATTATCACAGCCGTGTAGTAAATTTTGAAATTGGGAAGTGTGAGTCTTTCAATGTTGTTCTGTATCAAGATTATTTTAGTCGCCCAGGGTCCCTTGTAATTCCATATGCATTTGCAGATTGGCTTTTCCAGAGCTGCAAAAAAAATCTGAGAATTTTTTTTGTTGTTGTTAAAGATTTTATTTATTTATTTGAGAGAGAGAGAATGAGAGACAGAGAGCATGAGAGGGAAGAGGGTCAGAGGGAGAAGCAGACCCCCCGCTGAGCAGGGAGCCTGATGTGGGACTCGATCCTGGGACTCCAGGATCATGACTTGAGCCGAAGGCAGTCGCTTAACCAACTGAGCCACCCAGGCACCCCCAAAATCTGGGAATTTTGATAGGGATTGTGTTGAATCTGTAGATTGCTTTGGGTGACATCTTAACTATATTAAGTCTTTCTATTCAGGAATACGGGCTGTTTTCCATTTATTTAGGTCTTCTTTAATTTTTTTCGGCAATGTTTTGTAGTTTTCAATGTACAAATTAGTTGTATTTTATTCTTAGGTATTTCATTATTTTAGATGCTACTGTAAATTGAATTGCTTTCTTCATTTCCTTTTTGAGATCGTTCATTGCAGGTGTGCAGAAGCACAATTGATTTTTGCATATTGTTTTTGTACTCTGCAACTTTGCTGAGTTTATTAGTTCCAGTAGCTTTCTTGTGGATGTTCCATATTTAGGATCATGTTATCTCTGAAATACATATATTTTTACTGCTTTTTCAACTTGGCTGTTTTTTATTTCTTTTTCTTGGCTAATAGTTCTGACTACAGCTTCCAGTACAGTGTTGAATAGCAGTGGTGAAAGTGAATCCTTGCACACTGATTTTTGTTCCAATGTATGACCTAGGTTGTTTGGAGTTTCAGGCTACTTTCAGTGGGTGGAGGAACAGGGATTTGGGAGGGTTGGAGAGAGCGCCAACTGGGTCAAGCCACGGTGCGCTGGTAAGCCGTGTGTAAGATTGAGGCTTCTAGTTTCTGCTCTCGGTTTTATTTCTTGAGCCCTTAAAGCACTTTGTGTGCTTGTCTCAGGGCGTTATTCTCGTTGAACAGATGAGGAAGGGAGGGTCAGGGAAATTAAATGGTCTGCCTACGTTTGAGAACCCATAAATGGCAAAGCCGGTCCTGCTGGAATTTTATACGCCAACCAACTGCCCAGGGAGATACCAGATAATCAACGTGTCGTAAAGGTGGCGGCTGGGAGCCAGAGTAGGGGCCTTCCTCCCACCTCCACCGTGAGCCCAGTCTTGCGCCTACGGCCCTGGGCGCGGCCCTTCCATTGGTTGTCCGGCACAGGGCCCCATGCTCACACGAGGGGAGGCAGCCAATCAGCGCGGCTCATCCCCGCCCAGCCGGCTCGCGCTAGATCGCGTCGTCCTGTCCCTCCCGCGGCACGCCGGGAATTGTAGTCCGATGAGGCTTTTCTGTCTGGAGGGAAGGGAGCTCGGGAACTACCGGACCCAGAGGGCCGCGCGCCGAGCGGAGCGGCCTTCAGGAGTTCCCTGCTAAGACTGGACCAAGAGTCGGCGTCCAGGAGCAGGTGAGAGAGGTGTCCGGCTGGGACTGGGGCCGCGATAGGAGCCTCAGCCTCACTTCCGTGGTAGTACTGCGGCGCACAGGACCCCCCCCCTCCCCTCCGCATTGGGGGCCGGTGTGCCCGACCGGCTGGTCTTCCGGCTGTGTGAGCCCGCAGCCTCCCCGGCCGCCCCGTGTTGCTCCGAGGCTGGCCGTGCGGTCCCAGCGCTGCCTGTGAGGCTCGGGACGCCCAGTCCCCGAGCCCGGGACCTCGTGTCCGTGGTGCCCCGGGTTCCGGCGCACTTCTCCTTCTCTTGGGGTATCCCCGAGGCTGCACAGCACTTTCCCCGCCTACCAGGGGAGACCTGGGTTCTAGATTTGGCGCCGGCACTGCCCACGTATCTTCCTACCCCTTGGAGCCTCAGTTGGCCCTCCATAAAATAGGGCGCTTTAAGGGTCTTCCCAGGCCCTAGTCCTCAGGTACTTTAGTCTGGACTTTTCCAGCTGTGCTCCAGGACTTGGGGGAAGAAGCCAAGAGAGTAGTGATTCCAGAGGCTCCCTGCAGGAGTTGACGGTAGAGGGGATAAAGTTAGGTGGCATTGAGTTATTTTAAGTGCGCACTGTGTTAAGTGCGACCCGTCGACTTTCGGTCAGCCAGGCATACTTTTTGTTCTTTGCATTTACTTCTTTCTGGAAATGCCCTTAGGCTCAGCTCAGCTCAGAAGAGACCCGTGCATTCTGGGCCCAGAGGTAAAAGGGTGGTGGGGGTGATCTGGGGAGCCGCCACCGTGCATCTGCCTTAGGTGCTTGCCCCTGCAGGGAGTGCTCGGTGCCCCCTCCCTATGCCACTCCCACGATGCCCCTGTCCCGCTGGCTGAGATCTGTGGGGGTCTTCTTGCTGCCAGCCCCCTGCTGGGCGCCCCGGGAGAGGTGGTTGGGTCCCCTACGGCGGCCCTTCCTGGTGCACGGGTGCCCAGTCCTGGGGGCCTGGCACAGTGCCCGCTGCTGGTGCCAAGCGTGGACAGAGGAGCCTCGGTGAGTGTGGTGGGGGTGAGGGGCCTTGGGGAGGGGAGCAGCTGCTCAGGTTTCTGACTTGGCTTTCCTCTCCTCAGAGCACTTTACTCCTCCCTCAGAATGAATGGAGACCAGAAATTGGACCCTTATGCCCAAGCAAAGCAGGATTTCATCCAGCATTTCTCCCAGATTGTCAAGGTGCTGACCGAGGATGGCGTGGGCCACCCTGAGACGGGAGACGCCATTGCCCGGCTTAAGGAGGTGAAGGATTGGTGACTTAAGAGACTGAATCTGAGGTTCATTCTCTATATGGGTGGGATCCAGCTGTGGCTTTTGGGGGACCTTTGACACTGGGGCGGGAGGAGGGGCAGGCTTTTACCTGAGTGACTCTGGGTCTCCTCTGGAGGGAGCAGGGCCTGAGCAGGGATAATTACTCAGCCCATCAGTCCTGCCTCGTGGTTCAGGTGAGCCACATGGACTGCTTTCTATGCCTCTGGGGGTGAAGGCCTAAAACCTGCTAAGTCTTTGTTGAGAAAGGGGATTAGGTCTCCAGAAGTCCTTAAGTGCTACTTTGTCAGGGAGCTGGGAGGAAGCAGCCTGAGGAGCTTCAGGGGAAGCTGGGCATCATCAGAAACTGTCCTCCAGAGGCACCTGGGTGGATCAGTCAGTTAAGCTTCCGACTCTTGGTTTCGGCTCAGGTCGTGAACTCATGGGTCATGAGATCAAGCCCCGTGATGGGCTCTGCTTAAGACTTTGTCTTTCTCTCCCTCTGCCCCTCCCCCCCAAAATAAAGAAAGAAAGAAAAAGAAAAGAAACCTCTGCTCCAGGGCAGGAAATTTGGCTGGGATATTTGAGTTGCCTAATTTTTTTTTATTATTTTGGGGTATCTAGTAATTCTTTTTATAAATATTGTCTCGTTTGTCTGAGGAGAACCAAGGAAAGGGTTTGCCTATACGGGGTGGAGATTAAAAGGGAGGTTTTCACAGTGAATTCGAGCTGGTGGACAGCAGGGCAGCAGAAGGCAAAGGAGAGCTCCCAGCAGGAGGAGATACCACTGGGTCCCCTCCTGAGCTCTCTTCTGGCCAACTTTGGGGACCTTGTCTTTCATGCAGTGAGAGAGGCTTTTTGTTTGCAGATGGTTGGCACTGGGGGTAGGAGGAGGTGGCTGGGAAGTCTGGGAGAGGTGGGGACGAGGCTGGAACCTGGGAGGGAGAGACCTGAACGTGCCAGCCATTCCCATGGCATGTACAAAGTTTTCCCTGGGTTCAAGCCTATTCTGGGCTTGGGAGCAGATTTTAATGTGCAGTATGGAGCCTTTAGATTTACTGAGGATTGAGGCGCCTGGCTGGCTCAGTCAGTAGAGTGTGCCACTCTCGATCTCAGGGTCATGAGTTCAAGCCCCAAGTTGGGCATGGAGCCTACTTAAAAGAAAAAAATGTACTGAGGAAGACCACGCAGAGAGAGCCTGGGGATGGGGGGCTCCTCCAGTGGTGCTCCAGGATTTGGGGGAAGAAGCCAAGAGTCACAGTTTCAGAGGTTCCGGGAGGAGTGGGGCCTGAGGAGGTTAAAGTCCAGTCCGGGTTGGAAGCGGGAGAGGGCAGGGAGAAATCTTAGAGTAGGCTCTCTGCGGAACCTGGTGCCTTGTCCGTCTTCCCTTGCCCCCAGGTCTTGGAGTACAATGCGGTTGGAGGCAAGTACCAGCGGGGTTTGACTGTGCTGATAGCATTTCAGGAGCTGGTAGAGCCGAAGAAGCAGGATGCCGATAGTCTCCGGCGGGCCCTGACTGTGGGCTGGTGTGTGGAACTGGTAAGAGGGTCGGGGGAAAGGCAGGAGAAGCAGAGGTTTTACTAGGCTGGGGCTGTCCTGGGGGGAAGGGGAGGGATGAGCTTGAAACGAATTTCTCCCGTGTTTCTCTGCATTAGTAGTCAAGTTTAGACAGTGGTTTACTCTAAGGGTTAACAAATGTGGTGAACCTCTTTGCCAGTAGGTATGTATTTAGTCTATAAACTAAGCTGTGGGCCAGGGCCTTGGGACTGGGCATAAAGGAGTCAGCTCTTTCCTCTGAGCAGAGGGTAACTATCAAGAGTGACAGAGTTCTTCCAGAGGATTGTTCTAAAGCAGAGATTGAAAACTTGCAGGCCACCGATAGTTTTTGAAAATGAAGTGCCCTAAATTTAAGAAAGAAGAGATGTCACATAAAAACCCAGGTTTCTAGCATCACTTGGGAAATTGCTAGATCTGTGCCCAGGGTCCCACGCAGCATCAACTGGCTGATATTGAATCGTAGCCCCTTCCGCAAGACGGGGCACGGGCGCTCCTGTGTGGCTCTGTCTCTCTGCTTTGCTCCAGTCCCCGTATGTCCTTGTTTCCCGTACCCAGCTCATTTGCCCCTGAAAGGGGTATGGTTTCCTGGCCCAGCCTAAAAGCTTCACTAGTGACAAGGAGACTGGATTCCAGGAGGGGAGCCAGGCCCCGAGGTCGGTGGCAGGGAGCTCAGAAGGGAGGGCGCTCAGGACCTGGCCTGTGGAAAGGGGCAGCTGCCTCAAGGAAGGGTGTGACATGCTCGGGGTCAGCCACGCTGCCTTCTCAGCCCGGGCAGTGCAGGTGCAGGTGTGTGGCCTGTGGGTGTTGGAAATTCCAGTCTGGAGCTTGTAAGTGAGACGGGGCTGGGGAGGAGGGATTTGCCTCCAAGGAGGTAAAGGGACCGTGGCATCACTGGAGGACAGGGCCCTGGGGGCCTGAGGAGCCCGTATGCACAGACGCCAGGCAAGGCAGGGAGGCCGGGAGGACCCGGGCAGGGCAGAGGATCAGAGCTATGGGGCCAGGGCGGGTCGCCTGGTCGGATGATGTGTCCTGACTTCCAGCTGCCCCGTGGCTTCACCAGGGAGTGCTCGGGGATGTTTAAACGTGGCTGCAATGCTGTCATTTCCCCAAGATGCCTTTTGAGTTGTGCACCGTTGTTGTCACTCGGTGACTTTGATTATGGTGTCTGCTTTCGTCCTCCTCCTGCCTCCCGTCCTTCAGCTCCCACGGTCTGTTTCAGCGTTTACCTCTGAAGAACAAGGGCATTTGCCGGCACAAGCACAGTGCCATTGTCATGGCTGTCTGAGTTCACTCGGGCTGCTACAACAAAATAGCACGCACCGGGTAGCTTATAAAGAACAGAAATTTATTTCGTGGACTTCTGGAAGCTGGAAGTTGAAGACTGAGGTCCCAGCATGGCTGGGGGTGAGGGGGCGGGGCTCTTCTGGCTCAGCAGCACCTTCCCGCACAGCCCCTGGTGGTGCAAGGGGCCAGGCAGCTCCACAGCCTCCATCAGGAGGGCCCTGCAGGCCCCACCTCCTCACACCATCGTCTTTAATGGTTAGGATTTCAACATTTGGGGGGACACATTCAGACCATAGCAACAGTAATATTACCTAGTGTATATTCCCGATTTAAATATTCCTAATTCTCCCCAAAATGTCTGTTCTAAGTTGGCTTTGTTTTGTTTTTTAAAGATTTTATTTATTTGACACAGAGCGAGCACAAGCAGTGGGGGAGTGGCAGGCTCCCCACTGAGCAGGGAGCCCGATGTGGGACTCGATCCCGGGACCCTGGAATCATGACCTGAGCCAAAGGCAGACGCTTAACCATCTGAGCCACCCAGGCGCCCTTGTTTTGTTTTTAAACATCTGGGGTCCAATCAAGAGTAATGTACCGTATTTGTGGTTCTTCTTCAATCTTTAATCTTGAGAATAGTCCCTCTACCATAATTGACTAATACTGTGGATAGATTTCTCATTTAATTGATCTGGGGTGAGACTCTGACAGTGGTATTTTTTTTTTTTTTTTAAGTTCCCCTAATAAATAGAAAGTGCGTTTGGGTTAAGAAGCACTGCTGTGGGGCAGAGGAGGTTGAGGGGTACCAGGAATGAAGCTCTTCGGAGACTGTCCTGGTTGAGTGGTGCTGGTTGAAACCAGGTGGGAGAGACAGTGGACCAGTGGCTTAGTGGAACCACGTGAACACTCTAATAATAAAACACATGCCTCCGGTGTGGAAAGCCCAGACCCTGCGCCAGTGTGTGGTCAGAGGTAAAGATGCAGATGGGTGTCTCCTTCCCCAAGGATTCACTTGGAACAAGAGCAGTGACCACCGCAGTCCCTTCCACACTCTGCACGCTAGAGCCGATGGGCAGTGTCGAGTGCTCCAAGCAAGGCAGACCCTCTAGCCTACACACAGAGATCAGGATGGAGTGAAGATGTAAAACTACATCCTGAAAAGCTGTCTTTAAAGGCTCGGAAGGTGTATCCTGCATGCAGGAAGTCTCATGGGGTATGGACAGTGTCTCACATTCATTAAACAGGCGTTTAGGACACACTCGCTCTGGGGCTAGTGCTGTGCTTGGCTCTGGGAATGCCAGGGGGGCAAACGTCCTGGCAGCCTGCTGGGAGAACCAGCACATTCTGGGACTCTGAGGTAGGCCAGCACCTGGAAGAGAGGCCCATGGCTGACGCTGGGGTGGTTACGTGTATAAGACCCATGGGGGAGAGTGACCGAGGCAGCCTGCAGTTCTGTCCTATTAGCCCTGCATCCCCAAATGAGCTCCGAGGTGGGGCTCTGTCCTGGGCACCGGCGTGTGTAAGCGGAGCGCCTCAGGGCGACACAGGAACAGCCTCCTTTTATTGCAGAAGTCCCGGAAAGTCACACTGCAGGAAGAAGTCTTAAGTATTCACTGAGGTTCTTGGCAGAAGAAGAGTAGCGGACGCAATGCTTCATCGCCTCCCTGACACCAGGACTGTCTAGGGCTTCTTGTGAGGAGATAGACATCTGAGATCTGCCGGAGTCTTTCATGTTACCGTTGGGAAGCCTGAGCCGGCAAGGTCACATAATTCCCCAAAGTCCCACAGCACAGAACAGAAGCCCTCGCTCTCGCTGGCCTGACTTCCTTCCTAGCTCGGTGATGAGCAACAGTAGCAGCTCTTGCTGGTTGAAGGGGCGCTAGCAAGGAGTCCCAAGGGTCTGATTCCACTGTGCCTTCTCCTAGCTGCAAGCTTTCTTCCTGGTGTCCGACGACATCATGGACTCGTCCCTCACCCGACGGGGGCAGATCTGCTGGTATCAGAAGGTACAGTGGGCGGGAAGGTAGCGGTGGGCACAGGACAGGCTTCAGGGAGCTGGTGCACAGAGCATACCGAGGGCTTGTTTTTCTCGCCCCTGCCAGCCAGGCGTAGGTTTGGATGCCGTCAACGACGCTTTGCTTCTGGAAGCCTGCGTCTACCGCCTGCTGAAGCTCTGCTGTCGGGAGCAGCCCTATTACCTGAGCCTGATTGAGCTTTTCCTGCAGGTGTGCCGAGGGCCGTCGGCCCCGGGGGGTAGCGAGGTTTGCCTGGAAGGGGCAGAGTGGGCCAAGGTGCTGGGCGGGGCGGCAGCAGAGAGGGCTTCCCCATGTCCTCGAGACGGGAAGGAGGGCTGAGAAAGCGCTGTGTCTGTGTGCGCGCGGGCCCCTCACCTCTCTCTGCCCGTGCTGTGGGCTGTGGGGCCCTGGCTTCCAGGGTTTCCCGGCCCCAGAGAAAGCCCAGCTGATGGGCCATCTTCCTCCTCAGAGTTCCTATCAGACCGAGATCGGACAGACCCTGGACCTCATCACAGCCCCACAGGGCAATGTGGATCTTGGCAGGTTCACTGAAAAGAGGTGAAGGACGGGGGACCTGTCTGGCCAGTGAGGGCGGGCTCTGCTGGGCACTGCTCTTCTGAGGACCTTACCTTCTCCCCCTGCTCAGGTACAAATCTATTGTCAAGTACAAGACCGCTTTCTACTCATTCTATCTTCCTGTGGCGGCTGCCATGTACATGGTGAGTGAGTCTCCTGCCCCTTGCTGCCCACCGATGGGGCTTTTGGACAGAGGGCGCAAAGCGGTCAACTTTGGACAGTCTCCTGCCCCCACTATGTGGCCTGTGACCCTGGGCAAGTTACTTAAGGTCTGAGGGTGTCTTCTCAGCCGTACAATGGTGAAGTTCCCTCCTCAGGATTTTTAGGAAGATGAATGGAGGCAAGGGATATGCAAGTGGTCAGCCCGTCCTCCACCCGGGTCTGGATGGGGGTGGGGGGGAAGTTCACGCTGAGAGGAAGAAGACCCGGTCCAAAGGCAGGCGGTGGGATTCCCCGCCCACCCTGACCTCGCTTCTCCAAGTCCCCCTTTGATCCGGGAAGAAGCTGGAGGAGGCAGAAGGCACTGGAAGAGTGAGTCGGGCTGGGCACGGGCCGGCCTCCAGAGCCGACTTCGTCCCTGCTGGCTCACACCCGAGGGCCTCGGTGAAGGAGGTGGGCTGGAGGTCGGACCACCGAGACGTCCGGAAGCCCGAAAGCCAGGGATGTCTGAACAGAGAGGGGAGAGGATTTGGGGGCTCTGTCAGGGCGCCTTGGGAGATGCGGCCAGGAAAGTGAAGGCGCCCCTGGTGTTTGGCTGACAGATCCCCTTTTCACTGTAGGCGGGCCTCGATGGGGAGAGAGAGCATGCCAATGCCAAGAAGATCCTGCTGGAGATGGGGGAGTTCTTTCAGATTCAGGTAGGAAGGCACGGGCAGGGAGCGGGCCACAACTGCCCTAGGGCCCTGCTGTGGGGTCTCTTCATTTGTCCTCCTCTGCCCCCTGCCTAGGACGATTACCTCGACCTCTTTGGGGACCCCAGTGTGACAGGCAAGATTGGCACAGACATCCAGGACAACAAGTGCAGCTGGCTGGTGGTTCAGTGTCTGCGGCGGGCCTCTCCGGAACAGCGTCAGCTCCTCCAGGTGCCCGGGAGGCCGCGGATCGCCTAGCTCTCAGGAAAGGGCAGAGCAAGGGCCTTAGCGGGGTGGGGGTGACTGCACCCCAGGGGACGTTTGGCAGCATCGGCAGACATTGTCCCGTGCCACAGGGATCTCTAGTGGGTGGAGGCCAGGAAAGCTGCCCAACATGCTCCGATGCGCACTACAGCTTCCCACGGAGAGCCAGCCCCGGGCGGCGGTGGAGGCAGGCAGAGGAAACTGAGGCCTGCGCCGGTATCAGAACGTATGCGGCGGGGAGAGGGGAGTTCAAGATCGTGGGCACTCCAGGACCCTTGACACTGGAGGCTGGAATGTATGGATGCGGGGCGTGCAGGGGAGGGCTAAGCCCAATTTCCCCGCCCCCCACCCCTTCCAGGAGAATTACGGGCAGAAGGAGGCGGAGAAGGTGGCCCGGGTGAAGGCGCTGTACGAGGAGCTGAACCTGCCCGCCGTGTTCACGCAGTACGAGGAAGACAGCTATGGCCACCTTATGGGCCTCATCGAGCAGTACGCCTCGCCCCTGCCCCCCGCCGTCTTCCTGGCGCTGGCACGCAAGATCTACAAGAGGAAAAAGTGACCTAGAGACTGCGCGGGCGGGGAGGGGGACCTTTCAATAAACTGTCGAAGCTTCGTGTGGCTCTGTGCCTGCTTGTGCTAGCCAGGGGCGCAGCGCCGTCCGCAACGGGCAGGGTTGGGGGTGGCCGCGCGGAAGCCGGGGCCTGGGGCTTGCCTTCAGGACCCCTCGGCACCGAAAGCTGCGCGCCGGCCTAGGTGGTGACACGCGCACGACGTCAAGCGGTGGGGGCTGGGCCCGGGCCCCGCCCCGCCCATGCGTGAAGGGGCGCGGCTGCGCAGCGCCGGCGGGTTGTCCTAGCGCCCCCCCTGCCAGTCGGTGCGGTCCGGCGGGGACCTTGGGAGTCGTGGACGAGCCCAGCTGCGGCGCTTGCAGGAGGACCCTGGTGAGGGGGGCTCGGCCATGGGTGTGGATAGACGCTTCGGGGCCCGCCGGGGGGGGGGCGGGAGAGGGGAACAGTAAAATTGCATAGAGGAGGAGTGGGGTGGCGCCTGGGTGACGGAGACAAGCGCGGAGAGAACGGGCAAGCGCGGGGTCCGAGCAGGGGTCGGCTGGCCCACCTGCTCCGCGGACCTGACTCGCTGACGGATGCTCGGTCTTTGCCCCCACGCCCGCCCCTCTCCTGCATTAGCCAGCCAGACGCGCCTCCCCCCCGCAACCCCGTTTCGGAGCATCTGGGCGGGGCCTCCCTCGGCCCCTTCCTCTGGGAGCGAAGGGCAGGCAGGGGAAGTGGGGAGGGGGGGCGGTGCAGGGCCAGACTGCAGCAGAAAGGATCTGGGGCTCCATTCTAGGCCCCATCCTTTTTCAAGCCCCCGCACCTCCCCGGAGATCCATAGCGCAGCCGCATTCTCTGACCCTCCCCGCCCCAGTCCCGGGGGGCTTCCTTCGGCTCCACCTGCAAACACTGCAGTGGAAATTAAGGGTCAGTCGATGGACATTTGCGTCTCATTTAAATATTGTCCAAAGCGGCCGGCGCCTTTCATGCGTGCTGCAGCTGTCCGTCACCTCGGTGTCCTTCTGGAGGCCCATGTCCTCTCTGGCTGGGTATCACTCTCCCTGTCTTCCAGGTCTGCAGCTGCGGTTGCCAGGTAGGCGGGTGTGAGAGGCCCGATCCTCCTGATTCTCGAGGCCGCCCCGTCGCCGCCTGCAAAATGCTGTCCCCTCAGAGGGCTTTACTCTGCAACCTCAACCACATCCACCTCCAGCATGTCTCCCTGGGCCTGCACCTGTCCCGCCGCCCTGAGCTCCGGGAGGGGCCCTTGAGCACATCCCCTCCCCCCGGGGACACCGGGGGCAAGGAGAGCCGGGGGCCCTGCAGCGGGGCCCTGGTGGACGCCAATTCCAACAGCCCAGCTGTGCCCTGCCGATGCTGCCAGGAGCACGGGCCAGGCTTAGAAAACCGGCAGGACCTAGCACAGGAGGAAGAGGGGGCCGCCTCTCCCTCGGACCCGGGCTGCTCCTCTTCTCTCAGCTCCTGCTCCGATCTTAGTCCCGACGAGTCCCCCATCTCGGTGTACTCGCGGGGCCTCCCTGGCGACGAGGATGTCCACCCTCAGCCCAGCATCATCCCCCTGGAGCAGGGATCCCCACTGGCTTCCGCAGGCCCTGGCGCCTGCTCTCCGGACAGCTTCTGTTGCTCGCCCGATTCCTGCTCCGGAGCATCCTCCCCCCCGGGCCCTGGTGTGGACTCCAACTGCAACGCCCTGACCACCTGCCAGGACCCCGTTTCCCCAGGGCTAGAGGAAGAGGACAACGGTGGGGAGCAGGACCTCCCTGCCTCCGAGCTCCCAGAGGCGGATGATGGGAAAGCCGACGCTGGGAAAACCGAGCCCAGTTGGAAAATCAACCCCATTTGGAAAATCGACAGGGAGACAACTGACGCGGGCTGGAAAACCACGGAGAACAATAACTCCGGCTGCACAATCAGTGGGAATACTAACTCTAGCTGGAAAACGGAACCTGGAAAACTCGATTCCAGTTGGAAAAGTAGCACAGGAATAACTGATCGCAGCTCGAAAACAGATGCGGGGAAAACTGATGCGGGGTGGCGGAGTGACGTCAGCGAGGAGCCGGCGTCCCACCGGACAATCACGTCCTTCCACGAGCTGGCCCAGAAGCGCAAGCGGGGCCCGGGGCTGCCCCTGGTGCCGCAGGTCAAGAAAGACCGCAGCGACTGGCTCATCGTCTTCTCGCCCGACAGCGAGCTGCCCCCCAGCGGCTCGCTGGGCGGCTCCCCGGCGCCGCCCCGGGAAGTCACCACCTTCAAGGAGCTCCGCTCCCGGAGCCGGGCCCCGCCCCCGCCGGTGCCGCCCCGGGACCCTCCGGCCGGCTGGGCCTTGGTGCCGCCCCGGCCCCCGCCCCCGCCCGTGCCGCCGCGGAGGAGGAAGAACCGGCCGGGGCTGCAGCCCATCGCCGAGCGGCCGCCCGAGGAAGGCAGGGCGGGCAGCCCCGCGGCCGGCCAGGAGGCCCCCGCCGCCCGGAAGCCCGAGGAGTCGGGCGCACAGTACGGCCGTGCGGGTAAGCGGCCGCGGGGAACTGAGGCGGGGTAGGGGCAGGGAGGGGCCGAGCTGCGGCCTCGCCCCCCCCACCCCCGCCCCCGGCCCGCCCCGTCCCC